CGAGGCCGAAAGCGGGTGCTCATCCTCCTCTCCGACTCTACGACTGTTTTCGTCGCTGGCAAGAGAACGAGGACAGACCTTTCCTCGGATTTGAAGGCAGCGAGCTCGGGGGTCTATCTGCAATACAGGGAGATAATTTACGAACCCCTGTGGGGCAAAACATTGTCCGAACTTCGGGAGAGGGCTCAGATCCTCTGTGACCAGACGGCTCTGCGCTACTCTGGCGACCCAGAGTTGCTGGTGGACGTGCAGATTGTCTGGATGGCGAATGAGATCGTCGGCAGATACGGGATATTTTGCAGCCCCGGCGTCCCGACGTGGTGGGACCATCAATCGCCCATAGAAGCCCGCGGAGATTGGCAAAAGATCTGTCGGAGAGTTTGCCAAAACCTTGAAGCGCTTGCAGACCTGCAGCGCCGTTCTCCATACGTGGGGTCCATTGTGATCTGCACAGGAATTCGCAGCTTCGTCTACGGGTTGCCAAAGCAGTTTGATGAATGCATTGCGCGATTCAAGGACGAAGCGGTCCGTAGAGGACTCGCCGCCTGTGACATCCACCCCTTCCTTGGAGATTTGGCGCTCTACAACGACAACGTCCACTTCCGCGAAGACTCCGAGTCTCGCCGTCGCATGGTTTCCGGGCTGGCGCATATCATGCAAATTCAGATTGCTGAGAGGTATGCTGCCAGGGCCATCGCCAAGATGGGAGAGGATGCCTTCAAGTCGCTGCTCGCTGAGAATTACTTTGATTCTCGAGGACGCTACGCCATTGATAATCAGGTGCTACAGATTACTCTGGCGAAGATGTCTAGGAGCAAACAAGTGAAGGCGGAGCCAACGGAGGAGGATCCGTGCCCCGGCGAGTACTGCAGCTTCGTCTTCTGGCGATATTCGACCAATGCCGATCGACGCATCCATTTATGGTGGAGGCATTCTGTCTGGCGACTCTGGCACCGAGCACGCTGCAAAAAGAGCTCGCCTCGCAAAGGCTGAGGCCGACAAGCAGCGATTGACCAAGCTCGCAGTGCAGGGATCGCGCGGGATGAGGTTCATGAATGACACCTACGACTTCGCCGAGATGACTGGCATTACCCTGTACGATTACTGGAATGAATGCCCCTCGCAAGAGGAGGCCGTCCAGTACATCGAAGTGTTCCAAAAGGACATGACTCCTGGCCTGCATTACCCCCAGTGTGACCACAAGATGGTCACGTTTGTCACTGGGCTGATCAGGGGCAACTTCGAGAACAAGGGTAATCAATTTAAAATGCAGTCGTGGGACGGGCCGTGGGTCCTAGCCATGGAAGTGCTTGAGGTTGCCAACAGATGCAGACCTGGAAGCAACATTGGTTTAGGAATTCTCCTCGACATGATCGCCACCGACAACAAACAGCGCCTTATGTTTCGCGGACCAATGGACAGTGCTGCCGATGCAATTGGCCAACCGGCTTTTCCGGTCTACGTCGGTAGTACGCAGGGCCACTCCAGCAATCTGCAGCTCGACAATGCCTCTATTGCAAAGGCATATCTTACACTGCAGCGTTCTGAAGAGCTGGCTAACGCCGCCCGAGAGGGCAGGCCGTTGATCCCGATTGACAAGGCACCGCCCAGACTCTATCATCGCACAACACATGATGCGGCGTATGCGATTCTGGAAGACCGTTTGTTGCCTGGTTTTGGAGGTTCTGAAAAGGCGCATTGTTATTTTGCGCCGCTGCCGCTCGAAGAGCAAAAGGTACGTTCAGGACTTCGTGCAAACGCACCGATTGAGATCGTCTTTGACTCCCGGGAGGTCCTCGAAGCTGGCTGCGACCTATTCCTTACGGAGTCTGATGGCATACTGTGCTCCGAGGCAGTACCCGGCTCGACCATCTTGTTCATCAATGACACGCAACGCGATGTCACACTTTGGTCCCGTGCGGGAGGCGCTGTCCCTCCTGATGAGGCGGAACAAGGTGAAAGCCCAGCTAACGCTGAGGCCGGCATCGATATCGTTCTTGATGAACCCGAGGCTGAGGAGACGACTCAGGACAATTTCGCACCGCCTATTGATGAAGAACATGGTACCCTTCCAGCTGAGGAAACATCCCTACCGCCCATTCCAGATGTCGCTGATGTACTTGAGGGATCGTTGGCTATCACCGATGCCCCTACAAAGGCTGACGACGATGAAGCTCCTGATGATGAGCAAATGCCCTCCGTAGAGGAGAGGCCGCTTGTTGAACCAGGCACCATCATTGCACAGCCGGGTCCTCCAATCAGGACTGTGTACATCGGTGACGGAATGGCGACAACGGTGACGCTGGATGCTGAGGGTACACCAGTTGAAGCAATCCAGGAGCCGGTGGGAAGGCCAGAACCAGTACTTTATGCTGGTAGTGAGACCAAGCCATCCGCCGCGTTTTTGGAGAAAATCAAATGCTACCACTGCAAAGCTGAGTGTCTTCAAGGCCAAAGGATTTGCTCTCAATGCGGAGGGCCAGTTCGACCAGGTCAATTGAAGGCACAGGGCAGACGGACGCTGTTGGCACGTGGGCGTGAAGCTCTGCTTCAGGAGATGGGTGATGCCGCTGAACGAGTGGGAGTGAGGCCAAGCCTTCAAAGCGCATCGAAAGATGTCGCCGGCCGTGGCATGAACTCCTTAGAAGGCGAGGTTATTCGGAAAGCCAAAGTGGCAAAGCAGAGAGCCGTGAAAAAGGGCTACACTGATTGCGTTGCGAGGTTCAATCATGACATTGAATACGCAATTTCAATGGCCAAAGAGGGATACACACGCAGAACGATCCGTGCCCTCGACTGCCTCTGCTTCGCCTACCTTCCGAACCCTGGCCGCACTCGATCGCAACGCATGCTGGCTATTGGATCCTCCAGAGCGGCAAGTTCCACGCACCAGACCCGCACGGACGAGGTTCCAGAGTGTCGTATCGTTTTCTTTACCGGAGACGATGGCATTGGCGGTAAGTTGTGCGCAGCGGGACTAACGTCCACGCCGGAGGATACGCCAGTAGCATTTACATGGTACGGAGCCATCCTTTCGTTCCAAGATTTCGCTCACAACATCGCCAAGCAAAAGGGGGGCATCCGTCTACAGACTTTTGGCCACGGCAAGGTCGATTTCCTCAACTACGATCCCGCTGCAGTGGGTACGGACCTACAGACCGTTTTGGCAAAGGACCTACCTTTCATGGTGGAGACGGTTGAGGAAACCATCAAGAAGGCCAATCAAAGTCGTGCTGCCCAGCCGAAGTATGCCCAGCAGCATCCACCAGGTGGTGGCAAGGGCTCTACATATGCCCGAGCAGCAGAGAAGGGAAAAGGCAAAAGCCCGGCTAACGCCGAGGCCGCCGATCGCACCAACCGCGACTGGGACTGGGATAATCAATCCTGGTGGCAGAATTGGTCTTCGTCATCCTGGGGAACATGGAGCGGCCAGAACTGGGACAACCAGGACTGGCGTGAGTGGCGCAATCGCGGATGGCGTTGGAACTGATAAGCCGACCCAGTAGTCTGATTCTTTCGAGCAAGAGGGACGTTCACCCGGCCTGTGATGATATTTTTCAAGTGGCTGTGCGGCGAACTCCTATCATCCTTGCTCCACGCTGAAACCAGCGTCTTGCATTTGAAGAAAAGCTTGCATGCAGTTTTTCGCACCCTTCCTCGAGGCACACGATAGTCACATGTACTTTTGCTGAACTGATGACGCGGGAGGCAACTCCACGCCGATCGTCAAACTCCGAGCCGAAGCGCTCTTCCACCTGCAGGCGAAGGTATGCTGTGTTTTTGGATGCAGTGACCGTGCCTTTAGGTGAGGGGGGTGTAGTTTTGCATCGCAGCTTGCGTAGGAGTTTGTATGGTCGTGTACAGTCATCATGTTGTGTACTATATACCGCTGACTATTGTGCCCAAGCCCTCTGAGTAAAAGAGTCTTAGCTCGCTCATGGCTTAACGGTTTTGGTGTATTCTATAAGTTTCTAAACTACGGGATCGTGTTTCTTTCGGTTCAAAGGTCGAGGGACCACGACTCACACCATTCAGGACTTTTCAGATTCGGTTTATGCACACGTATGAGTATGTATACATATATAAGGAAGATGATGATGAGGAGGATGAATGCCGGCAAGTTGGCAGATGCGGGTGCAAATACCCAGCACCCAAAACACGTGGACAACGAACCTTCCGATTTGCAAACCAACAATTTTGCCATATTCCAAGTTTGCGATCCGAAACTAGCTTGCCAAGGGGGAAACCCCCTGATTCCTGAGTATAGGAAGCATGCCTGGATTTGCGGCCAGCCCAAGGATCCGTTGAGTGCCAGGGGGGGGATGCAGAAAGCCTGCAAACACTCAAAGTTGGATGATTCTTAAGGGCGTTTGTGGTCTTGCCGGGAGAGTCGGGAAGCTTCGGGTAGCAAAAGCCCCCAAGTTGGAAGAATATCGATTATATTGTATCGTATTGTATTGTTGGGTAATCTTTTATTGTATTGTATTTTATGCTGTTTCACATGGTGCCATGTTTTCAACACATTTTACAGTATGTCTGAACACACTTACACTTTTACGTGTAATGTATTTGCAATTGTAAAAATGTTTCACAAGTCTACAAGACTTCAAGAAAGAAAGCTGGACAGTATACTTCTGATAGCCAAATATCCACAAGTCTTGATAATTTCGGGTCTGTCAGAAGTTCCGGTTGAAACCAGATGCGACAGTGGAAGTCCGCCCTTACCTTCCAAAACCCGATAGGTTTCGCGAATGCTTTTAAACCTTCAAAAACGGAAACCCATGCAACCAGAACCAAGCAGCCTTTCCGCACCAAAAACTGCTTTGCAAGACCTTGAAGTCTTTCGCAAAGCATCAGGCCAAGTCTTGAAAGAAAGCCTTCTAACTTATAAGTACCATAACCCCAATTAGGGTCCCTCTTAGGGTACTTATAAGTCTACTTACTAATTACCTACTGTAGAATTCTAGAAAGCCCTGGGCTCTTGGATTTTCGAAGCCCAGGAAGCGGTTTGGCCTATCTTCGCAGCAGCTGGCTGCAGCCGCGAGGGGAAAGAAGCCTTGGTATTCCGGCGGCCAGGAATCTAATCAGAGGAAGATCAGAAGGTGTCGAGTAAAAGCTCTGAAAGAGCAACAAGTTGGGGCTCCTTTTAGCTAGGCATAGCATGCTTCAGCCCCCTTGCAGTCCAGGGTTTAGGGCTTTTATGGTTTATATAAGGGTTCTCAGATGTTTCAGCGTTCAAGGGGCCAGGAAGTGGCTCTGAAACAGTACCAGTCATCATGGTTAGAGATCTCAAAGCAACTGCCGAAGCCTGTTCCTTCACATCAGAATGTACTGCACGTAGACCGACCGGGCTCCGTATGTGCAGGGCGGAACGTCTGCGACGAGTCTACGATGAAGAGTCCGAGTTTAGGATAATTGGACAGGGTTTCGGCGTATAAACCTCAAACCAAAAAGCCATAACACCTAAATGCCGGCAATCTGGGAGAGTTTACAGCCGCTCTTGAAGCCAGACAAGCAGTTTTCAGGCTAGTCTCCGAGGTTTACCTTAAGCACCTAATAATAAGGTCCCTCGGAGCATGGTGTTAGGGTTCAGGATTTCGCCTTCGGGGGTTAAGGGTTTTAAAGTCTCGGGAACGGGGCGGAGGCCGTACCTGGAGCCTAGAACTAATTTTTGCTGAGATTGCTTGGTGTTTTGAGGTGCAGGTGGCCGTAAAGATTTGGATTCAACAAATATTTCCCTCAATTAATCTTCAAGTGCGGTTTGCCGTGCGTTTAAATTCCTTAGGCGGAGGACTTTCAAAATCGCACGGTGGGTTCGAAGTTGAAACTTCGGAGAGTGAATGCCATTTTGTCGAAGACTCCGCCCTAGCAATGCTTATAGCATGCGGCAGTCTGCTCGAAGAAGTCCTCTCCGTTCAAGGTTTCGGTTGTAATTGTAATATGAATATGGGTAGTTCTCTAAACTAGCGTCCCCTTTTGTGTCCTTTATAAGGGTGCTGTAAAATCTTAAAGACCTAAGCAAAGTCCCAAATTTAGAGAACTACCCATACAATTTTGCTGCCGTGATGACTCCAAGCAGTGAGCACCCACCATGCCGGGTCTGGATCTAAGACTGACGGGCAACAGAACCGGATATCAACATAGACTGTTGGAAACAATCCCCTTGAAGAGATGTGATCTTCAAAGTTTTTGCTGAGGTGCTGCCCTGGTGACCTGTAGGCGCCTATATCTGTATCTCTATATATATATATATATATATATATATACATATGTATATACATATATACATACATACACACGCCTTAACCCCCCCCCCCCACATTCAAAACCCTAAAGCCAAAAACCCCGAAACCTAAAGCCCCCAAGCCCAACAACCTTAAGCCTTCAAACCCCGAACACTAAATCCTAAACCCGTATCCTTGCATGCAAAAAAATATCTCGTAACCTTGCATGATGAGCTAGGTTCAGAAAGGCGTCCTGCGAAAGGCCAGCTCAACACTTGAGCAGCAGCCGCTTCACACGATTTAGGTTTTGGGGTTTATTAGGGCCTGGTCAGGATGCATAACGTTTAGGGTTTCTGAGTTTGGGTTGAGGGTTCAGGGGATTTAGGACGTATTGTTCAAGGCTTAGGATTTTAGGTTCAGGGTTTATGATGTTGAGTTTAGGGTTCAGAGGAGCTTAGGTTTAGGGTTTTGATTTTGGATGAAGGGTTCAGGGGATTGAGGAATTAGTTGGGTTTGGGGCGTTTAAGTTTAGGGTGTTTGATTTTAGGTGGAGGGTTCAGGGGATTGAGGAATTGGGGTTTAAGGCTTAGGAGTCTAGGTTTAGGGTTTTTGATGTTTTAAGGGCTTCGGAGTTTAGGCTTGAAGCATATGGCACAATATGGCACCCGTTAGAATTACATGGCAGGGAAGATGACGGCCCCTGAAATCCGAAACCCCGAAACCTCGTCTGGCTGTGCCTAGGTGTGAGTGGTCAAACCCCCAAACTCTTAACCCCTAGAGCTAAATCCCCTAAACCCTAAACTCCCAGATTTTTAAACCCCTAGACCTTTCCTGGACCCTGAATACCTTGCCCTGTTTACAGCTTCATGTAAGGAATCATAGTAAGGAGCCCTTTACCCTCAACTGTCCGAGCTGCGAGGGGAAAAGAAGCAGGTTCTTCCCCAGCAACAAATGCGAGTTTCCGAAAACAGGGGACCCCAATAGAGTACCCGAAATAGTAGGACCCCGATATAGTAACCCCTAAATAGGGTATCCCTAGTTTTCGGAAACTCTCAAATCGTTTGAAGACTCAGCCGGGGAAATTGAAGGATCGCCCAGTTTTTCGTTCAGGCTGCAACACACAATCGGAACGAATGTCCGGGGCACCGACGACCGCGAAACCCAGGTTTAGGGGTGTTTGGTCTCAGGCTTTCAGAGTTCAGGGTCGCCGCTTTGTTGCTTCGGGGTTTAGGGTTTCGTTTTCTGCAAAGATGAGCCAACCTTCCACATCGGTGCAGCAGTTAATCAACTGGACACCTCTTACAACAAGGGAGTTTCAGCGCACATGATTTCCTGAAGAGAGCCGAAGGAGTAGGCTTATGCAGATCCCATGTGCGACATGATGGTCTGTCTTCTGGTGCTCGCCGGATACGAAGGCTCAGGCCGCTTTCCCATCTTCGCAAGCCCCGATACTCGAAGTTTAAGCCGCATGGCCCCAACCCCAAAGCCCCTCCAACCCCTAGCGGTACTTGTGTGGGCAGATCTGAGAATTGCAGTGGGGCCGCGCCTAGCCTTGTACTTCACTTTGCCAGAAAACAAGGTGTCCCAACCAAGCGATCCCCGTAACGAGCGGTTCTGCCTAGCTCTGAGTCCCGACACCCGAAACCTGAAATCTGGGTGGCGTCCATGGAGCTCTTCGAAGCGATCGAGCCGGCTTTGGGAAAGGAGACGACGTCCTCTGAGTGGACCATGGCTTTCGCCGTTGCCCAGCTCCCGGCGCTTTAGATACAGTGAGAGGGCTTTAGGGTCTCGTTCTTTTGAAGCTTTTGGTTCGGGATCCCTGAAGCAGATCCTCAAAGCAAAGCCATAGAGCCCAAGCCTCGAGTCCTGCGAGGTGCTTTTCTTCGTGTTGGTGACAACGGGAGGCCTTGCTATGATACAGAAGTTGCCCAAATGGCTCTGGCGCTGCTGTAGGTGCTTGTGCTGCAACCAGAAGACTCGCAAAGAGGTAGATTCAAAGCTCACAGACTTGCAGAATCAGTACCGGATGCAGATTGCGAAATCAGCGGCGGCCGTAGGATTGCTCCTGAGTGCAGCATACCGATTTTATCAAGTTGCCGGTGACACGTTCATGGAGCGGATTCAGCGTGATGTGGTGCTGGTCACATGGGAGGTCATGCTGCTTACAGTCACAGTGCTTATTGCATCCGGGAGAATGACCTGCTGGAGATTCATGAACCTCGCCTACTTCCTGTTGATGCTGCTTCTGTCCGTTTCACTCCTTCCGGGCATGATCGGAGGAAGACACCTCGTCATGGCGATCTCGATGACATGGCTCTTGCGCTGCAGCATCGTGCCACTGACGAACTCTGTGAGGCTGGTGGTTTTCAGCAACTTAGTGTGTCACTTGTGCATGCACGTGGCCACAGAGTGGACGCGAGATAGAAACACACCGGAAATGGGCACCCCTCGGGGTCCCCGAGCCGACTTCTATGTGCGTTTCGTTGACAACTCGCTGGCCATTGACACAGCACTGTCTTTGCTATCTTGCCTCATTAGCGCCTGGCTTGAGCACACGACTTGCTCAATTGTTGAAAAGAGCCTAGAAACTGCAATGTTGAAGAACGAAGCCAAAGCATGCGAGTCCTTATTGGCAACTTTCTGCGACGCACATCTCTTCTTGGACTCAGAGTTGCGCTTGGTGAAAGACATGCCGAATCTTGCGTCAATGCTCTTCCGTGCCAGCAACAATGCCGGTACCGACTTCATGCAGTGTCTCGCGACGCAGGAGGACAGAGTGCGCTTCATAGAGGCAGTGAATCTCGGCTCTTCTTCGGGAACTCCTTGCTGAATCTACGATGTAGCCCCAGTTAGCTACATAGTGTAGACTGTCCCGAAAACCATGCATATGCCCTACAGTAGTGATGGGCGCCCCAGGCTAAGGGCCAGCTTGTAGGTCGTAATTATTTTGTAGTTGGAACTTCAGCAAAATATTCAGTTGGGATGCAGGATTCAATTCCGTTTCCAAAATATTTCCAAAAGGTAGTTCCAACACGAGTTCGGGATAGGCATGCAGGGTCACCCTGGCGGTTCCTTCCACATCCCCGCCCGAACCGCAGAAATCGGAAACAAAATTGAATTCAAAATTGAAAAAATATTGAATATTTCTCGAGGCCTCTCCAAATTTCAGATTTTCCAACCCCGGCCCCGTTCTTCCCGTTGGCCTTGGCCTTGTCTACCAACTCAGTGCCCGAATCGCAGAAATTGCAAACAAAATTGAAACCGCAATTGAAAAAATATTGAATATTTCTCGAGGCCTCCCTAATTTCTCGATGTTCAAACCCCGGCCCCGTTCTTCCGAACCGCAGAAATCGGAACCAGAATTGAAAGCGAAATTGAAAAACATTTGAATATTTCTCGAGGCCTCTCCAAAATTCCGATGTTCCAACCCCGGCCGCATTCTTCCCCTTGGCCTTGTCTACCAAATCAGTGCCCCAACCGCAGAAATTGGAAACAAAATTGAATTCAAAATTGAAAAAATATTGAATATTTCTCGAGGCCTCTCCAAATTTCCGATTTTCCAACCCCGGCCCCATTCTTCCCCTGGCCTTGTCTACCAAATTAGTGCCCCAACCGCAGAAATTGGAAACACAATTGAATTCACAATTGAAAAAATATTGAATATTTCTCAGGGCAACACAGAAGGGGGCAACACTTTGGAAAGGCAAGACCCGACCCTTCGCCCGAAGTTCGTCGAACCCCGCCGGCGTTCGCCGAACCCTCGCCGAACACCTCCCCTCCTTCGAACCTTTATTATTAAATTCTAATATTATTAATATTAATTAATACTAATAATACTAATAATAACTAATTAATATTCATTTAATTATAATTAATATTAATATTAATATCAATAATACGAATACTAATATAATACTAATAATACTAATACTAATATAATAATACTACTAATAATAACTACTAATACTAATATTAATGCTAATACTAATTTGTTTAATACTAATACTAATTAAATCCTAATACTAATGTTACATAAATTATTATTATACTTAAATTTATTTAAATACTAGTACTTATGATACTGATATTTCAATATAATTTGTAACAACAGAACTAATAATACTAATACACTAATTAAATTAGTAATTAAATATTACTAATACTAGTATTATTAATGATGTATTAAATACAAATATTTATTAAGTCTCATATTAATAATTTTAGTAATATTTATATTCAAAAAATACAAAGGTGAAATTACAATGAATGTGAAAAACTAATAAACTAAAAAGTATTAGCAATAATGTGCATACTTTAACCTTATCACGAATGGCTCATAGTATAATAGATTTGCATTCGAAGCCTGAATGGCTTGTATTCTTAGTCATAGATGAATAATATGGGAACCCTGTCATGAACAATTAACTTGCAGAATACTTGTTAGTGTGCTGTTCAGAGTTACTAATTGATAATCAATGTCCATACAGGCCATTGTCAATAAAGTATATTGTTTGTTAGCTATTTCTTATTATTCAATTTGTGATACTATCGCTAGTGGTAACAATTTAAACAATAATTTTTAAATAACTCATCATCAGCACACTATTTCTCACAGGGGCCTGCCTATCACCGGTACGATCCCAATTCATATTCTAATAGTATCAATAATAAAAAAACTCAGTTTCCTGATTGCTTAATTTGGACGCAGAACATGTGTGTCCTGGATATGCATCTATTTTCTTTGAGTGGTTCTGTATAATAATTAAGCAGCTTTATGAACTTGTGTATGATATGATGTCAACACTAATCAAAACATACTGCCGTATAAGTGATGAATAATTAAATACACACTTTGACTTAGCTAGATTATTCGTGGTTTTGCCTGTTGTAACACTGAATACTGGCTAACAAGAACAATAGTACTATTTTATAATCAGCAGGTTTCAGCAAGATTGAGTACAATAATATCACGATCATCCCTCTGCTTGTAACCAGAAAGAATAAACAACAGTTGAGTCGAAAGAACAAACTTGACAATAGTGTAGCCAGAGGCTTAGGCAATTACATTGTTACTAACTGTTAGCAGCATAAAGAATGTAGTTAATAGCAACAACAAATATGAACACATATAGATACTCACCATCATCATCGTCATCATAATCATGCGTGCTGCTGTGTCTTTTTGTTTTGGGAAGGGGGGAAGGTTCAGTCAGGGCAAGACTTCGGCTTCGCTGCAGTTGGGAGGGTTTGGGGTTTGCGAGTCTTGCAGGGTTTGGCCCGAGTCC